AGTTGCTCTTTTACTTCATATTTTGCAGGTTCTAAATGAATTATTTTTTCTTCTAGTGTTTCTTTTACTTTATCAGTAGACACTTCAGGTATTGTAACGTCATTTGAAGGTTCATTATTAGCTTCTAATTCTTTAAGTATTAAGAGTTTAAAGTATAAAATAATTGTTTCAATAATCGAAATGTAGTTTAAATTTTTTTATGTACTTTTAATGACTTCATTATGTTCTTCAATTAAGTTACATTCTATATTAGGGCCACCATTATCATTGGAAGATACTTCTATGGGTTGCTTTTTTTCATCGCATTTGTTGCGATGCAAGTGATTCTTATGAAAACTCTTAATGAGTCATAAGAACATATTAAATTATTGGATAAATTTTAGTTAATTTATTTTAAAAATCAACGTTAAGTCAAAAGATATGTTTAGGCTACTTATATACTTTTTGAATATAAAACAATGCAGAATAATTTACTTTTCCTAATAAATATGCTGGTATTTTTGGTGCTTTGTCATTTACAATTGGTATATAACTTTTTTTGGCTGGAACTGATAGTTTCTCTCCATATTTTCCAGATTTTTGATTCCTAATAAGTGTTCCAATATCTCCCCGCTGTATTAATTTCTAGGCGTAACCAATGTCAAATTTTAATGAATAATTGGAATATAATTAATATGTTATTATTATCTTCCATAAAAAGTCTCTTTTCTTTAAAAATCTTATTGGAAATCAAATTGATTAAGATATTAAAATTGAAATTATTTAACATCTTTTACTAATATCTCTAAAAATAATACATTTATACAGCTGCTCTAAATAATAACAAGTATTAAATTATTTCTACTAAATTGTAAGGGTCGATATATCTATACAATTGTAATTACCACTTTTTCTGCTATAATTTCATCACTTTCAAGTTGTTTACGATAGGTTCGTTTTTTTGGATTAGCTGTATTTGTTTCAGTATTAATATTTCCACTAGAATTTGCTGTTAAGAGAATATTATTTTAAAAGTTATTAATTAAATAATTAATTATGAAAATGTTTACGGTGAACAAATGCATTGACGTTGATATTATATCTGCTTTAATGTATATAATTTACTGAAATAGTGAATAATATTAAAAATATTTTAACTAAAGTAAAAAAATAATTATTATTTATCAAAAAGAGAATAATCTTTTTTAATTTCTTGTTATATTTTATAGCTAATCGTTTTCACGTTTTTTGATAATTAGTTTAATTAATCTTAATAGTGTCTACAGTTATTAATTTCACCTTTAGACTGTCTTGATGTTTGGGGATCTTCTGGACTATCAACGACTAAATTGGAACTCATGAAACGACGATTCCAGAATTCTTCAATTCTGCGTTTCACAACATTCATATTTGTTTCATAAATATGACTATCCGTATTGTTTTCGCTAGCCATATTAATAATTAGTTAAATAACTGTGAATACTTACACGATATGATAGTTTATTTTGACGAGCAAACACGAAGTGATCCCAATGTCAACATAGACAACGTTTATATATGATAAAGTCATGATTGTCATGGAGAGTTAATTCGTTGAATTCTTTTATTATAAGCCACTTAAAAATTAAAAATAATTGTTAATCATATTTCATATTGTTCATCAAAATCGGTCCAGCGAGAGCTGAGATTGAATGGTAACAGACAAAAAATTTAAATTAAACACATTTTAGTAAATATAATACTTCACAACGAAGTTAAAACTATTAATTTTTTAATTAACTCATAATAAATTTAGGAATAGTAAACAATTCCTACAAAAAAAAGACTCTGGTTGGGTATTAGTTTTAAATTTTATTAAAATTTAATTATTTCCATCATTAGCTGCATTTTGATTTTTTTACTTTGCTACTTAAGTTTGAAATTTTGTCATATTAGAACTGATATATTTCATTGTATTTTAAGAAAAATGATTTCATTTGATTTAACTATTAGAAAAAAAAATTAATTTTTTATACTATACTAAAGTTTTAACTATATTGATATTATTTACAAGTGTGGATCAAAGTTAAAAAAGAACAATAGTTTTTGTTGTCCTACTCTGACAGCCAATTTTACTTTTCATTAACATTTTGTATTGAACTGAATTTATAGAAATGTTAATAATAGGTGCAAGTCTTCCTTAACTAAAGAAGGAAAAATGTCAAGATTTGATAAAATTATCTTAGGATTACAAAATTCCATTAATTCTGACTAAAATGGTTTAGTATTAATTATGATCTAGTATATTTAAAATATCATTGTGCCAGTTTTATTTAAAACTCTTCTAGTATTTATGAATCGAGTCCAAAAAATTTATACAGTTTATAAGAAATAATTGTCAAATTATTGAAATTAAGACATTCATGTAGCTAAATTGCATAGCTGACACGCCGTTTCATATCACAATAATAAACAATTGGTTTAATAAAATGGGTATTAAACAGTTTATTTACAAAAATTTTAATTAACATACTTTTAAATAGTATTGATATTAATTTTAAATGAATTCAGAGTTTTACAAGTTTTTTATTAACTATTACCATTTTTGAAATGATCTTACAAATTTAGATGATTTTAAAAATTAATTTTAATATTCGATTTTTATATTTAATTGTTTGTTTTTAACCTATGTAATTACTTATTAAGTAATAAGTAATACTTAATTGCATACTATAACTTATAAACATAATAATTCTCATGATGATAGCATTTCGATCCGTTATTGGAATGAGACACAGTTAAAAACCTGTAAATGGAGCTAGCGACAATAATTATTATGAGCCTGATGATGAAATTAAACTAATATTTTATATTCAATATAATATTTCAGTTTTGTTTATTTATTCAAGATAAACAAAACCTAATACTATATTATTACGATTAGTAGTTTATTATTAACATTATATCACAAAAAAGCTTTATAGGTAACCCAACCAAACTCTTTGATGGAATCATTAATAAAAATTTTACTTATACATTTATATATAGTTAGTTGAGAAATTAAGATGTTAGGGTAGTAAAGATTTTTAATATTTATTGGTCGATCATATTTCTATAATACTCATCATTAAATTCATAGGTTAATCTCGAAGAAATTTGAAATATGAGTCATCTAATTAATAAATGTTGTTCGGTCATTTTTTTAATACTCAATTTTAAATTTTATATCTTTTGTGATAAGTTCAAAAATGGCTAAACTAAATATTTTGTGAATTAAAATGAGTTGATTTATATAAGATTATAAAATTTAAATAATTTAGGCTATTAACAAATGTTTCAATATTTGAGGTTGCAATTAAATTAAACAAAAACTTGCATATATTCTATGTATAGGTAAAAAAATACTTTTAATCATATCATTATCATATTTCTAATCTAAATTTTTCAGATTATGAAAAAGTGATACAAATTCCATAACTTTATGTTCAGCGTTTAAAGTATCACTAAATTCAACAAATTCCTTACAAAATTTGATCCATTATCAGTTTTACACAAAATCACTTAATTCTAAATTTAAATAAATTTAAGAAATTATTCGGACAAATACATCTTATGATTCAATCATCTTTAAGGGATAGTATTTTTAAATAACTGTTTTTTACTTTCCAAAGTCAACTAATTTACTTGCTTTTTTTTTAAAATAATATTTTCGTGTTATATTTCAATGAAATATGATTATTAATAGTTTTATATTTAGTAACAAAAACATTTATACCACACTTTTATACCAACACTCAATATAACTAAATGACATAAGTTATAGCTAATAATTATTAAATAAGATTCAAAACTAACTTTAGGTTAGGTATAAAGTAATAATGCTATTTTTATTTGTTACATTCAAATTGATATTCAACTAAAAAAATTACTAGAAATATTTAATTAATTTTTAGTAGATTTACAAATATTTATTACCTATTTTAGTTTTTAAATTTATAGTTACAGTAAATTTATTTAATTTTAGTTTTCAATGACTGCTTTCATTTCCACAAAGGATATTATTTTAAATTCTAATCCAATACAAAAATAATTCACACCTGAATTAAGTTTTATTTTTATCATAATATACAAAAATAAAAGTAGTACAAAATAAATATTGTAAAAGCATAGAACTCTACATAATTTTTCTGCGCTTTTCCAGTAGTTAAGTAAATGTATTTATAACATTATTATAGTTAATTTTTTGTTTTACAATGTGCTCAATGCTCAATTTATCCAAATTTAATACGTTCTTGCTCAAAGTCATTTTTGCCTCCAAACTATTCACACGATTCATTTGCACTACATTTTATTTTTTAAAAATGTTCCTCATTTCTGAAAGATGAAATATGTAAAAAACATGTTGAAACCATATCATGTGCAGTTATTAAATCAATTTTAGAACTTAGTAAATAATTTGGTAAAATATAAGCTTTTCCAAATATATTTTTCCATTAAACTAAGTTTAAAATTCACCATTTGAAAAAGTAATCCTTGTGCTACTGAAATAATTTTTAATTTTATATTGAGAAGTTCTCTATCAGCAATTCACTGTAATGAGTTTCAACAATTTCTGGCAAGTTTATTTACATCGAGTCTACTGCACGTTTATGACTCGCCCATCTTGTCTCTGAAATTACTTTAGTGTTAATACTAGTCCATCAATTTTCTTTTGTTCTTCTTCAAATATTTTTAGTCATGGTAAACATAGTTCAATTTAAATACGGGGTTGTTTTAAATAGAGCGATTAATGCCCGTATTTTTAAAAAATTGTACTCTCACGTTTAAATACCTTTTTAGACTTCATTTTATATGTTTACCAAAATACATATTGTATTTAAAAAAATTTTATGTTAAGCTTGGTTCCAATTATTTGTCTAATTGTCGCATATAGGGCGAATACCGAATATTCGTCTACTAGCATAAGTAATCAAATATAAATGTATTGTTATATCATTGTCAAACGAATTTACCATTTCAAAATATCAGCATCTATACGCTGTAAAATATTAATAGTATATCATTTATATAATCTGTTGTATATGTAATATAGATAATGCTAATGTTAACATTCTTTGGCCTGTGCAATATATTGACTTTAATAATATCATGTACACTATTTCAACAAATTCTATTTTTAGCTGTGGAATACTATCTGCTCGTTATCATTGTGAATTTGCACTTTTTCTACATGGAGAAATAAATCTGTATTGTAGCAGAACTGTTATTTTTTTTACTTTTATATTAATTTGTTGATAAAATAACGAATTCAAAATTATTTTTTATATTTAATGAAAAATCCTGAAACAGCGGTGACTCTAATGAAGTAAGAAATAATTAAAAACCATATTACATAATCTACAAGCAACTCGGAATTTGATTTAGGTGATTTACAGTCTGGTCCAAAAAGATCCATATTAGAGGTAAATCATGTATATAACTAACAGCATAGTATTTATATTGTTTATTAAATATATATTTTAATTGCTATTAAGCCTATTATTAATAGCTAATGAATTATATTTAGCTAATTCCATTAACAAAACCATGGCTTCAATCCTTTATTTTAGTAGGTTGAATATTTTTGTGTATGACATAATTATTGTTCAAAAATTAACTTATTTGTTTTTTATATTTTTTAGTTATGTGGATCTAGAGGTCTTAAAAATGGAAAACTAACAATGCATGATACTCATTCTAGTACAAAAAGTCATTTAACTTGTAAATAACTGTTAAAAAACTGACACTGTTCATACCCAGCTAATAACTCAATCTAAACTAGAAGTTGCTGCTAATAGGAAATATATGAAAAGTATAATTGACATAACAATTTATTGAGTATCCAAAGAATGGCCCGACACAATAAAAATAATTCATCATTAAATCAATGTAGGGAACTAATTTAAGTAATCTAATCACCTAATAATAAGTAATTAAAACTAAGAAGATATCATTATTAATTTCTTAATAAATAATTTTTCTTGGGAAATTTCAACGAAACTTGTGTTTTATTTTCCAAGCATATGCCAAAGTTTTTTGAAATATTCAACAAAGAAACAAATCACATGAGTCATCATATTCAAAATTAAATAATTGAAATATGTGCAAACAGAATAAGAGATTCAATTATAGAAGACATTAGTACACAGACTTTTAGTATAATGTTTGATGAAGCAAGGTAATAAATTTAAAAATGAGCATTAATAAACACTAATATTACTACAAAATTTTTGCTTTATTTTTAGATGTTATAAAGAAGAACAAATGTTTTATATTATTTTAAAACTTGTAAATTAAATACTAAAGCTCAAATAATTTCACAATACTATGTTTATGTTAACATCATGTCTGCTACTTTAATGAAGTCAATCAAAAATTAGAATTAAATTTTCAAAAGCGATTTTTACTCATTGTATGTTCATAGAATAAATCTTTTGGTTGCAGATATGTGAAAAAATATTCAAGTAAAAATCAATATTAATAAAATGTGTTTTTTTTATTAAAATATTAAAAAATTTTAGGAAACTTTAAGTTTTTTAACATGATTAAATGTATATGTCTTAATTTTTCTCTTCCCCAAAGAATTGTCAATTAGTTGAATTGGAAAAAAACTCGGATATAAAAACAAAACTATGGGCTAATTAGTAATACTAGATGGATTTGTAAATTTAAAACCTGTGAAGCCATTAAACAATGTTTCAAGAGTATTCGTATTGTACTTAAAAGAGAAATAGAAAATAAAGCTGATAGAGATGTCAATGAAGCAAAAGGTATAATTTATAGACCACAATTGTTTTTATCCAATTTATGTAAATTTTTTTATATTAAAATTGGTAATTTCTGTAATAGTATTCTGTAAATTATTTTTGATTATTCAAAATTACAGTTGTCATAGAAACAAACGACTTTTAAAAAACAGACATTTTCTTAGTAAATTTGTGTTATTTTATACTTTTTAGTAAAATTAATTATCTTTTTTCTCGTTTATAAAGGTTAATTAATTATATTATTAATGATTATTTTTATTAGCAAGTAATCCATGTTTGATGGGATGTACGTTATGTCTTATATGTTGATACAATGTGTTTTAATAAAATTAAAATTAAAATACAATTTTCAATAGTTATAAAATGCAGTACGATAAATATTCTTTGTTGGTTAACTTTCAAATTTATCCCAAGTAAGTACATTTAATCAAATATTCTAAAATATTTGAAAATTCAATAAATTACTAAAAATACAGATATTTATCAAGGCAATTTTTTTTTAATAATTAAACTTTATCCAGAGAAAATGTCATTATAAAAATATAACATTTTATTATTGTAAAAATACATTGGTTAAATTATTAAATAATTGCTGTTTATTTATCATGTATATTTTAAAAACCGTTCATCAAAATGAAATAATATTTTTTTTGTTTTATTTCCTAGTTATATTGTATACTTTATTTGTATATTAGTACTAATAGTTATGATTACTAACAATAATAATTTATGAAGAGGGTCAAGAATAATACAGAAATCTTATTTTTAAATAGTTATGATTTGTATTACAAAATTTTATTATTTTTTAATAATTTACTGTTGAAAAATTGTGTATATATTCAATGAGGTACAATTAAATTTTTTTATTTTAGTATTATTTGAATAAAAAAGTTTGAACATTGGTAAATTATTAGTTTTAGTGATTAATTTTTGTGATATTATCCAAAATCTGATACGTACCCAATATTATAATATGAATTTTTTCATAAGACAATTGGTACTTTATGTAATGGCTTACTATTTTTCTTCCAAAAATGTTTTATAAAATCGATAAATTATCTCTCAGATTTAACGTTGGCCATTCTATTTCTCTTGGAAAAAATATTGAGATTCAACTTTTATAGGTGAATATTTTTTCTGTATACTTTTAATAATAATTAATTTATCATTTTGTTTTTTTATTATAACAAACTATTTAATATATTATTAACATAATTGAATGTAATTCAGAAAAGTTGTAAGAAATATTATATCAAATGAAGGCTAGATTTAATAATTCAATTTGGCTGATAGATTATCCAAGATGTTTTTTAATAATTTTATATTTAAACTCTAAAATTATTAGCTATGTAATAATTTTTAAGTTCATCTCGAATGCCTTGTATGTATGTCAATATTGTTTTTTCAAATGAGTACAACAATTTTGAATTAAATGAAATGTTTGCAGTTTTATTTTAATATTATGACATTCCTATTTTTAACAGAACTTTATTCGTTTATTCAATATAAAACATTACATTTTTAAACTTTTGATTTAATATACATGTATAATATACTTTCTTTTAATTATAATATTCTGTATTAATAAAAATGTCATTGAAGAAAATAGAAAAAGAGACAGGCCTTTGATGACATTAGTTTTAAAATATTGCCTTTGCTATCTAATATCAATAATTTTTACAACGTAACTACTTGCTAGTATTCTTGTTTATACAAAATTACAATTAATATAAAAACAAATTACTTTTAATACACATTGACACTTTATAGTAAATTTGACCTATTTTATACTTTTTAATAAGATTAATTTTTTTCTTCTGATTCATACGAATTAATTAATTATATTAGCTAGTATTCAATGTTTCATGGAATGTACGTTAAATTTTAAACAGTGACGCAATTTGTATTGAAACGTATTACAATAGTGATTTATATCACTGTTAAATTTAAATCTAATCTGGTTTACCATTTCGCTGGAACTTTTTTAAAGGCACATCTAGAATAAAATTTCAGTGGGTGTTATTATTAATTACTCACCCTAAAGAATATTTTTATTTAAGTACACATATATCCTACAATTTTTGTGAGGTCAATATCTCATAGCTACTAGTTGCGCCTATAGTACTGTATGTATTAGATTTTTGGGATACACTTCACTACAGTTTAGACTACTTTAGACTTTCTATCCAAAATAAAAAATGTTGAATATATACATTGTTATATACGAGATTTGATATCTTAGATANTTACATTGTGATATACAAGATTTGATATCTTGGATAAAAAGTGATGACATTAATTGATTGAAAATCTTAATTGGCTATATGAAATTTAAACAAAAAAGTTTGTTCTTTAGTTAATGATACCTCTTTTTTTATCATTACCTATACATACATATATATTATATTATGTATATTGTATTATATATAGAGTTTTCAGTAAGTAAGCGAACGGCTTTATATTGTTCTCATTGTTTGAACAATTGGCTTGCTTCCTTATTTACTGAGAACTGTATATATACATATGAATTTGATTTTGAGAACTGCCTATAAAAAGTCATATTGATATATGAAAGTTTGTTTATTTTATATTATTCTTTCAAAACAAACGATGACTTTAATCTTATAATATAAAAATAGCGGGCTGTACATAGTTTGATATATCGAGACAGTTATGTCACTAGTACGCGCTATAAATTTGCAAATGTAAAAAAAAACTGGCTGTACTATGCTAACATTTTCAGAAAGAAATGTCGCATGTACGAGTTTTAACATTTGCTATAAAAAAGTCATTTGTTATATGTATCTTAAATAAATTGATACATTCACAATTATTTAACAAGGCTATTGAATTGTGATAATTTTAGTGGTATCTTTAATCTAAGAACAGAATTTTTTTATTTTTATTTTACATAGTCAAATAATATTTATATTAATAACTGCGTTATTTTTTTATTAAAAACTCTAAATTTCTCGTACATTATAATTTATGTAATCAATATTTTTTGGTGAGTAAAAACACAAATGAGATTTGATGAATTTAAAAATCTAGTACATTTAGTAGTGAAGACATAATTAGAGGCTAAGGGACATTGACCTAAAAAAAATGTAAGAAAAATATGTGTTAAATAAAAATATATTTTGGTGTGAAAAAATAATAATAACAAATACCTAAGGTTCTATTTTAGTTGTAACAATGGAAAGATGACGGGATAATGGAAACCCGTTTAGATTTAAATTTATCAGTGATTAAAATTACTATTGTAAGACGTCTCATTAAGAATGTGCCCAAGAAGTTCTGTTTTCTGGTCGAACCTAGTTTTAGGACGAATTAAAACTCTTAGTTAGTATGGATCATTAGTATATTTAAAAAAAAGTATCAAATTTAGTTACCAACATTAACTATTAACAACTATACTAGTACCTGATTAGCACTAACGACTCTACGACTGATCTATGAGTATGTGGGGCGCGGATGTAAATAAACTGTTAGGGGCTTGTTTAATAGTTGAGGATCTTGGTCAAAACCAAGAATCGGAAGCTACCCGGCGTCTGCCCAAATATCGTCCCTATCTCTTTAAATGAGTTTTTATTGCCTGAAGGAGACAGGCAATCGTGTACCTTAGTTACAGGGGATAGATTATTAAATAAAATTAGACTATTGTTTTATGTCAACGACAAAGTAAAGGTATATTTTAGATGTTCAGTAAATATAAGTTATATGTAATGTACAATACGTCTGACCTGAATCCTAGTACAGTTGGTTAGTAGGTATATCCAAATGAGACTGAGTTCGTTGGCTATGATGACAATTGGCGATAGACGGTTGGGTTGAATAAAACAAGTTAAGTTATAAATAATATAAATAAGACGAAAGTAATATTGAAAACTATATCTATAACGGCCACTCAAACACAACTGCCCTTTGTTAGTTCGATGTCAGTAGCTCCGGGCTACAGACGAGTAGAATTGTCACATCAGCATCTCCCTCTATGTTAATTAATTTGTATTACGAATTAAATAAATAGAAATAAAACGTGTGTAATATAAGTGGTAAGAACATAGTAATAAATGTTCTTACAAAACCAATTACACACTTTTCTTAAATTAATTAAAAATATAACGAAGGCAATCGACATTTTACCAGGCTTGCTGCAACTTACCTTAATGATCTGATAACTTAACTCGGACAATATTATTGTGGTTACTAAATTAAATACTATTATTGTTTACTTATTATTATTTCGGGTTATGTACACTGGCTGCCATCGCTCACTGGATCTCTAAAGATCCAGTCAGGTTATATTTAAATAATATTAAATAGAAATAAATGCTTGTTATCGTTGTTAGTTGAGAGTCTATATTTATTTGATCACGATATCGCGAACGACCCTTTTAGTGGGATATAAATTATACAGGACCAGCGTTGCCCCGTTTAGGTATAGCCAACTTTTAGGACCTTAGCGACAAAACACGTTGCAAGCTGAATGAATCTTATCTATTATAACGTCAAAGAGTATTACCTTATAGTGATAATATTTTCGAATAACCAGCATGTAATTTATTTGCATCATTTGCCCGGTAGTCATCGCTGGGTACTAAAGTGTTTGTGCAAATTTAATTGTAAATTACTTATTCAACGCGTTGTTAATGTTATTTATGTAATAAGTAGTGGGTAACACTGTTGAAGACGGCACCTAATAATTTAAAACTCCAACCGAATGCATATTATTACCCTGCTGATGATGCAGTACTTACAATTGATTCACACATTGTAAATGCAAATTTAGTGATGTTGTGGGTTGCTAGGAAGAGTTTTTTTAAAAGTAATATTCTTTCAAGGGAACATTGTTATAAATAAATAAATAAATAATTATTGAAGAGACAGAAGAGAAAATAAATAAAGAATGAATAAAAATTAGTAAATGAATGCGTTTATTAGTGTGTGATAATGAAATTACGCAGTTTAATTTTATTGTGATTGAGTAAAAAAAATTAGTGTGCAGAAAAAGAGAAAAAAAATTAATAATAATAATAATAATGCAAAACAGACAATCAACAAGTGATGTATGTTATGATAAAATTATGGTGTACAAATGAATTAATGTTAAGTGTATAGCAGTTATTAAATTCAGCATAAATCTTTAATGAATGGATATTTTGTCAAATACATTCATAATTGAGAGAGAAATGAAGGGATTTTGGAAAATGAAAAAAATAAAAACGTTAGCGCTTGTTTGTTATTTGGAAATACAATATGAAGAGTCGCGAGAATACGCGCCACGTGTTCGCGTATGATCGTCAACAATACCAGCCATTTGTGTAATAGATATTTAACACTTGAAAGTTTATTTTATTTATATTTTTATATTGATGATTTTTCTAATAAACCACATTATTATGGGAGATGATAGATACAAAACACCAACACCTGTATGTAATATTAACTTAAAATAGTAGAATAATAGGTTGAGCATGTGTCCTTTTAAGTTTAATTGACTAACCAATAAGAAACATTTTTCAATTAAAATCTAAAATATCAA